GAAATGGCCTGGAGGACTGAAACTGGCAGTAGAATTGACACACTGGGAAATACTTATGTTTTGTATGAAAAATTGGAGTTATACATATATTTTGTATGAAAACGTGGAGTTTCTCTCTTTGGGTTGGCTAAGGGGTAGTGGGCAGAGTGTCAAGAGTATGTTCCACTTCATTATCTTAAACCTGAAGCACAACGAATTATGATCATCACTTCTTCCCTATTTAGATCAACTTCCCATTGCAACCACCAGCGTTTTGCTCTTTACAATGCTGGTAACATGAATATAAAGCACTATTTGTAGGAGTCCATCTGGGGGAAAATGCAGCAGGAAATTAAGAATATCCCTTCTGCCTGCTGCATTTTTTTTTTCCTGATTTGCCTCCTTTGGAAATGTCTTAATGTCTTCATTTAGAAAGGGACATTAAATTATATTTACTTATTTGGTGTAACATGTAGTTTGACTCTTACCAAATAATGCTGCAGCACAGTATTAAGAAAAAAAAATTGGCACTTGGATCTAATTTCTATTGCGTTATATGCTGCTGACAGACTCCAGTATCTATAACTGATCCAGGATGTTGCCATAAGGGAACAAATAACCACATTTTCCCAAAGTAGGTTTTCTTGCCCACTCCAAAGGCAGAGAGTCCTGGACTACAGCCCCCATCACCTCTTACTGTTGTCCTTGTGGCTTGAAATGAATGGGAGTTATGGTCAGCAACTACAACTCAGCCACAAATTCTCCATCCATCCATTGGATCTTGTCCAGATATTTCCATCTTGGAGCTGCTGCTGTGTACAGGTTCACTGCAGGTATGGAAACCCCTAGGATGTAGGGCGCAGTCTCCAGAGCCCTCCAAATATTGTCATTGCATTGTAAATGTTAAAGTGATGGGGGAATAGTATATAGTATACTAGTCATGTTATGGCACTTATTTCATGTAAATTAATGTAGTTTTTGCTATAGGCTCATCTACTTTAAACAGGTGCACCCTGCAGCATGCCATCCAAATATCAAGCACAACCCTGATCTAAAAAGTATGCCTTCTACTAAAGATCTGAAAAACTTTTCTGTCTTGTTATGAGCTCTCAGAAGATAGTGCAGTGCAAAAGCTCCTTTTCGGGAGTTGGGCAAAATAGTAAATCTGTACGTGTGGGCATAACACCATCTACTTTTCTAACTGCAGTCTGGCACTGCCCCCCCCCCCCCTTTTTCACACCATCTCCCCACTCCCTCCTGCTGGGCATGTATTAATACCCTGTCTCGTATATTCCACAGTTAAGCCTTTGTGTAAAAAAATGGTCTTCAGTTAAGGCTCCAAGTGATAGTTGCAGAAATGATGCAGAGGTACAGTAGCCAAAACCGCTTGCAAACTCTGTATGGGAGAAGGCTGGCTCGTCTGATAAGAGGACTTTTAAAAGAGGCAATGTTAAGGACTTCTGCAACTGAGGTCTCCCTTCAGGTCCTCTTGGTTTTCAGACACACTTCTTGTCACTTGCCACCCCCTCCAGTTGACAAAAGCCAGAGTTTTTGGTAAGACCTCCCACCCTGGGGTTTTATTAACATTTATAATGTTAAGAGACAGACCAAGTGATCTTCTGGCTTTCAAGCTCATTTCATCCTCCCAAAGGACATTCATGCTTTGGAAACATTTCTGCAATACATTAAGATTCCTTTCCCCTACACTGAATATCCATTATCATCAACCCTTCCATTGGCAGAGAGGAAAAATAGGTGATTTTCTATTACCTCAGGCATTAAAGGGTGGGAATGAGGAACTCCATTCCCCTCAAAAATGTCACCCATCATTCTACTTGAAGCACTTTATAGGAACAGCATAACTGTCACGGCCACAGGGACAGAAGCCATCATACATGAAGCATGAAAGAGGAGGTGCAGCCAGCTGCTGTGGCCTGACGCGGCTGGAGCACAGAGGGAAGAGATGCTTAGCAGCTGGTTGCAGATGGCTGAGGAGGCACTGCTTCAGAATATACATGCAGGAGCTTAGAGGAGGA